TCTCTTTTGATTTTATATCTTTTCTGTTCTTCCGTTTCACTACAATGTGTGTGGTTGGAATGTCATTGATTTTGTCCAACTTGGTATTTGTCGAGACACTTGAATTTGAGGATCCGTGTCTTACATCGCTTTGGAAAATTATGAACCACTCTCTTTGAATTTTACGTCTTCTCTGTTCTGTGTTACCTTCTTCAACTTCAGTCAGACATTGGTTAAGCAAATGTTTCTCACGAGACACACTGTGGTAGATTTGGCTGGGAAAAGTCTTTGTTGTGTAGGACTATTCCTTGCATTATGGGACATTTGACATTCCTGGTTTCCAGACAGTAAACGCTGTTGTAACGCAAGTGTCTTTAGATACTTCCAAACGCCCCCTAAGGTAGCAGGTAGCACCTCTGCTTGGGAAACACTGGGGTAAACCTTCTCTCCTTCAGCTGTGTCTTCTCACCTTTCATATTTTTAATCTATGCCTCTCTGTGCTGAATTCTAATTTATGAGGCTGTGTTTTCTATCACTGGTTTTCTCTTCAGCTGTGTCTAATAATCTGTTTCAACCTTCTGGAGTTTTAAAATTCTATTTCATTTTTCACTACTAGATGTTTTAGAAATTTGGCTGTTCTGCAAATTTATTCGTTAATGGTTGATAGCCTTGTGTTTCCTTGCCATAATTGTATTAAATATTTTTATTTCTTGAAACATATTCATCCTTTTATATTTATATATTTTGTGTGATCCAAGATGTCACTGATCATAAGAAACATCCCTCATTTGTGTATCACTAAGAAAAATAAAAAGCTCTCTCTGTGACTGATAAGTGTTCTCACAATATCCCTCTATGGAGAAATATCTTTTCTTCTTTATTCAATATACTGAGGACATAAACCCATCTTTAGAAACCGATCAAACATCTAGCCACTTTTCTTGCCATTTCCCTATATTCTGAATTAAGGCTTAACTTTTAGGACTGTAATGGGAGATATCAGAGAGATGGTGATTCTGATAGAATCCAAAATTTAAGTAAAAGCCTAGTTTGTTAATATACCAATTCAATTACAAAGTTATTTTAAAATATCTTTCCTTCTCTTTTGTCTATTTATGACACCATCTTTTTCTTTGAATTTTTGAGTCAATGCCTCAGATATGGATGACATAATGAATACTGTTTGCATATTCTTTATTGTCCAGAGAATGTGTACTTTCAGTCACGTGTTTAGAGGTGGTGATGGGCTGCCCTGAGTAACACACATTCCTGCCCCCTAGTCGATCGGCCACCCATGCTGTGCATTCATAAGACAGTAGGGAGATTTAAGGAGAATCTGTGGCCATGACAATGGAATAAAGTTAAATGGCTCCCAAAGGGCGAAAACCTGTTCTCTGGCTCCTGTCAATACCCAGCGGCTCTTCCTTGATGGCTTCGCACCCACTTGGCTCTCTCTGCTGCTGCTGATGGCCTGGAAGAGCGCTGTGCCTGTCACTTGATCCTGGTGCTGGCTGTCAGCCCTGAGGTCCTTCATCCTTGGATCATTTTATCCCTCTTCCCTGAACGCTGGCCACCTCGTCTGGCAGTGCCGTCTGTTGTCCGCCATCCTCTCTGCACCTTCCTGGGGTCAGGAGACATTTGGGGTCTCTTCCACTTTGTGTGGGATTGGGGGGCACTCAGGGACACGCTGCTAAGTTGAACCCCAGGAGAGGAGAGGAGAGGATCCGTGTCAACTCACACCTCTATTTGTCTTTCCTTTCTTCTCCCCAGAGCCAGCTGAGTCAGAGGCATTCACATTTCTCATTTTTGTTCGTCCCGCCTTCTGAGTTTTTAAATCTTTGAGGTCTTCATGTGGGAATGGGTTCTCTGACATTTTAGCACAATTTCTCTTAAAAGTTAATTATCTCATTAAGCTCAATGTTTCTGGTAAGTATGCAGATGAGAAAGCCTTGAGATTGTTTTCTGGATACTGGAACAAATAATAACAAGGAAGAAGCCATTTGTCATGTGTCTTGGATCACTCTATCATCCTCCTCCTTCTTAAGACCTGGATGAGGAATCAGGACAAAGTCAGGGAGGCCAAAGCCGGTGAGGCTCCTGTAGGGCCTTGGAGATCATAGCCTCTGAAGTGATGGCCCTTTTACTTGAAGTGAAAAGCAAGTCGTTGGAGGAGCCAGAAGTGGCGTGACCAGATTCATGTTCTAACAGTGTCTCCCACCCCAACACTGTGCTACACATAGACTCCAGGGGAGCAAGGCCAGACACCCTAGCAATAAAGGGAATGTCCACCATGGTTGTGGGAGAAGTTGTGAAATTCTGCCCAGTCACATAGCACGTAATAATGTGTCAGTAAACAACAGACCACAGTTATGACAGTAATGACAGGCAGGGCGCAAGTCCAAGCAAGCAGACGTACAACCTTTTCTGTTTCTCCTGAGACGAGCATGCTTTAGCTGTTTCTAGCCCCTTGTTTCTGGCATTTCTTTGTGAACTTTGATGCTGATGGTGTTTCAGAGTCAACCTACGTACAGAATATTTAAGATATTTCTCCATAAGGTGTTCTTATGTGATCACACAAAACCTTACAGCTTGCAAAGCAAAACTGTGTTTTAATACAAGAAAACATTTTTCTTTAAAAAAATACTTTATCTTTTTTTCTGTGTTTGTTCCTTTTTATTATAAATGCATATTGACTTATTTGTACATATTGCCAAAAAATGTAAAACACAACAGAGTGGTTGCATATAAAAAATAAAAAAAATCTCCAGCTCCTTATTCTTTAGTGTTATTTCCTGAGGTTAAAACATTTCTTAAAAATTAGTATTTTAATTGGGGGATGGGTCATTCAGATGGTGCAAATATGTAAAACCCGTAAAAAGGTGACATGACCCCATAGGTCCCATTACCCCACAACAGGTAATCATTAGCATTGGTTTTGTTTGTCCTCCCAGAAATGCTGTGTGTGTATCTAAGCCAATACAGTATTTATCACCTTACTTTTACACAAATGACGAGTCATTACACCTATTACTATTTTGACGGTTGACTTTCCCCACTTAATAATATAATTTAGAGCCCTTTATCTATCGCTATGTAAAGCTCTTCCTCATTTCTTATGTAGCTAATATTATTTTGGGTAAATATATCGGTATGCCATAATACATTTTTCCTGCTCCCATTTAATAAAATCTAAATAGTTTTCAATGTTTATTCTTAGATACAATAATTCAGTGAAAAACCTTTTCTACAAGTCAGTTACCAGGTATGCAAGGTTATTGGTAGTGTATGTTTCTGTCAGAGGAATCTATGCGTGGAAATATAAAGATAAACATATTTACAATTTTGAGAATACCAAATTTTCCTTTGTAGCAATGAAACTAATTTACACTCCCCTCAACAAGCTGTGAGATTACCTGTTGATTCGTTCCCAGAGAGCAAATGTATTGTCACCCTTTTGGCTTAGTTTCTAGAATGACAGTTGAACATGATATCTCACTGTTGTTTTAATACACACATTTCTCTCATGAGCTAATTTTAGCATCTTTTACCTGAGACATTTGCATTTCCCTTTCTCTGAATTCTCTGTTCATACCTTTTGCCTACCTTTCTATCAATTTGTTGATCTTTTTCTTATTGATCTGTGTTTGCTCATTTTAAATTCAGGGAAGTAGCTTTGATAAGTTATAATAATTTCCCCAGATTACCTTTTTTGTTGTTGCTGCTTTTCTTAGAGTGTTTCTATCTTCCATGCATAAGTTTAGTTTTTTGACTTCTAGGATTTACTTTAGAAAGATTTGGTTATAAATTCTTACATGTTTTCCTTCTGTCCTTTGTAGTTTCATATTTTATATCTGCATATTGACACATATACAACTGCATATTGATAGAGTTATTCTAACACTCTTGGGTCCTACTTCGTTTTTCCTTTAAAACCAAAATTAAAGTGTTCTCATCTTATTAATTATTCCATTTTTTCCCTCTTGCATGAAATTCTATCTTTATTAGAGTCTAAAATCCCAAATGAATTAAGGACTAATTCAGAATTTTAAAAAAATTTATTTTAATTGTTGTTCGAGTACAGTTTTCAGTCTTTTACTCCCATCCCAGCCCTCCCCACCTCCCTCCCATTTCCATCCCCACCTCCAGTTTTTGTCCATGTGTCCTTTATACTTGTTCCTGCAAACCCTTCCCTTTCCCCCCCAAATTCCCTCCCCTCTCCCTTCTGGTCACTGTCAATTGGATTGCCTCTTCATGCTTCTGAGTATGTTACTGTGACTAAGAGTTGAGAGCAGGATTTTATTCTCTGCAAATAATTTACCTTATTTTTCTATTAAAAAACATTTTCTTGGTTCTTCCTTAATTTTTCCAAATAAAATTTACAATCACCCTTACTATTTCTGGGAAAAAAAGACATGTACTTTTTCTCTGGAATTAGATTTAATGTCTAAATTATTTAGGAAGCCTCAGGGCTTCATATATATATTTTCCTAACCAAGAACAAGGCATTTCTCCATATGACTAGGTGTTATTTCATAATCTTCATAAGCACTTTCAGGTGTATTCATATATGTCTTTCACATTTATTAAATCATTAAATAGATTAAATTTATTTTAGTCCTGCCATACATGGGGTCTTTCACTAAATGATTGTTATATCACGAAAGCTGTTGTTTTCTGTATACTTACTCTCTGTACTATTATCTCAGTTTTTAATTAAGTCTCTTGGGTATATACTTGTAGCCTTTGGAAAAGTAATAGTTTTCCTCTTTTCTAATTTTTAATGTCATTTTTTTGCTTGTCTAATTGTATTGGCTAATATCTCTAGTACAATAAGTTAAGTGAGAAGGATAACAGTGGTCATCCCTTTCTTGCTTTTGACATAAGTAGGATCATCATTAGTTTTCTCCACTAAGTGTGTGTTGACTTTGGAGTGGGGTTTTTAGTTCTGTGATTAGATCTGAGGATTTGTAGAAAAGTACATTTGAAACACAAACCTTGAGTCAGCATTCTTTATTCCCAGGGCCATACTGCTCAATGCATCCTCTGCTGAAGTTTCAAAGGGCAGACCAGCTCAGACAATTTTCAGCACAACTCATCAGAAAATTAGAAAGATTCTTTAATATTTCTGTACACTTTATTTTATTTAGTACAATCTCTGCCATTTAATAATTAGGTGCCCACCCCCAATCAGTGCATTCTTATTTATGAATACTTGTAGAAACCTATGGAATTCCTGCTCAAGTTTTCTGTTTTAGACAGACATTACACTGACGTAGCAGTACAACCCCTATCTGGGGTCCTGGCAGGAAGAAAGCACATTGTCTCTCCTTGGGCCGCTAGGAATTGAGATGAATGTCATTCTGGGGACACACTGGAGTGTCTGCAATTATTGTTGAGGAATTATTATGTAGAGTTTCAACAATAAAGCTCAGCAAAGTTCAAAGTGAAAAATTATCATAAAAAATCAAATTGTGATATTATCAAATAAAAGCTTGCTCATCATATGCTGAGTTATCAAGATCTGAGAGGAATCCTTAGAAATGGGACCAAGCTTTGTAGTTCTCTTAGAGAACTGTTATACAGAAATACACTTAATGGGAGAAAAAGGAAAATGACTCATGTGACAAAAACTGTTCCACGTGCTGCCTGTTTTGGGAGGATAAAACACCCATCTACGCCAGGAAGCAGGGTCAGTCCGGTTAGCACTTCGGCTCACAGATGGGGAACGTCAACTCCAGGATGGTGGTTTGTTTCCATGTCATTGGCATGTCCTTTCAAGTGCTCAGAACAGAATTTTTCAGTCCCTGCCATCCACTGGGGTCCCAACGTGGGCCATGTAATTGACATTAGTGGGTCCTTTGGACTGCATCCAGTTCAGCTGGGCATAAAGATATCCAGTCTGAAGCTGGGATTTTGCTGTGGTTTTGAAAAGGTTCATTGGAATCCAGACTTGTGATGAGTGTCAATTTATGGCACTCAGTGACATTGTGACCAGCACAGGTCTTGCTCAGAGGCTGTAGTCATTAAGAGTAGACATTCGTGGGTCCCTCTGGGTGTGGCTCTTGTTCATTCTGACTTAGGGGAGAGCTCTGCACTTCCTTTTGACATTTGGCTGAGTAGATAATGTACAAGCTTCTAATAAGGAAAATTCCAGCAATGACAGCAAAATAACTCCCGTAAACCAAAAACTGTAGAAAAACAAATAGAATTAGATACACATAATAAAGAGCTGCCCATCTTTGTCATTGGTTATTCATAGTGAGGTCGTTGATTTGCTTGGATGAGGGAGTAACTGAGACCCAGGACCTTAATGGGATATTTAGGTTTGCACAACACTTTCTTCTGCCAACTCAGAAGAACCAGGTATGAAGGTGTTAGCAATACAGTAACTAAGAGTGTGGGCTCTGGAGCCGGGTGGCTTGGATCATGTTTTAGCTAACCTTGACAATAGTGGAAAAGTACTAACTCCCACTGATCTATGCATCTGTTTGTAGGACGGTACAGTGCTATATGCAATGTCTCCAGTAATGAATTTTAGACACTGAGGATACTTTTTATCTATCTTATATCCCCTTTATTAAGATTCTTATATAAAATGTGAGACTGAGCTAACTCTAAGTCCCTCAGGAGCGCCGGGAACAGGGAACAGAGGTCTGCAGTCAGGTGAGTCTCCCAGTTAAATTCCAGTAAATCTGGAAACTAGATGGTGGGCGAAAGGGGAGGCTTCTGGGGACACAATAACATGTTACCTGATGATGTTTTAGGAGCCAAAGATAAATGCTGACTTACTGTGATTATTGCTTGAAACTGCTTGGTGTGTTAAACTGATAATTAAGGAATTTCTTATTTTAAAATTTGCTTAGCCAAGGAATTTGAGAAGTTTAAACATTGGCAGTGGTAAGGGTATAGGACCCTTTGAGAGGATCTAGTGACTATCCATTCCCACCAAGTATGAACGGCACTTTTTCCAGCTTACCTGAATGCTGACTGGCAGATTGAGCCCCCTCGGGTCCACTACAATCACAGTGAGAAGGGTCTGAATCACCAGGGCAATGAAGGTGTTGATTCCAAACACCAGGGCGTATCGTTCCACACTCAGATTGACGGCAATCTGAAATCTGTCATTAAACATTAAATACGTTTTCAACAGGAATATACATGGGATTCTTAGCTTTCAAAGACAAAAAATAAAATAAAATAAAATAAAATAAAATAAAATAAAATAAAATAAAATAAAAGCAGTCTGACAGATGGGAAGGAGATTGAGGAGATAAGTGAAAAGGAGAGGGAATTAAAATGTACACATTGCCAGTTACAGAAAGTCACAGGATGTACAGAATAGAGGATTTAGTCAATTATATTGCAATAACTACATATGGTGTCAGATGTGTACTTGACTTAGGGGTGATTACTTTGTAAGTTATATGAATGTCTAGTCACTGTGTTGTATTCCTGAAACTAATATAATATTGTATGTAAACTACAATTGAAAAAAAAGACAAAAGAGTATCTTTATTTTTTGGTATTTAAAACGTATTTACTTATTATTTAATTTTATTTATTTTAAAGATTTTATTTATTTTATCTTTAGAGGGGAAGTGAAGCAGAGAGAGGGAGAAAAATATCAATGTACGGTTGCCTCTCATGCATCCCCTGCTAGGAACTGGCCTGCAACCCAGGCATGTGCCCTGCCTGGGAATTAAACCGCGATCCTTTGGTTTGCAGGCCCGTGCTCAATCCACTGAGCTACACCTGCCAGGGCTTAATTTTATTTTTCAAACAACGTTTGCATCCAGGAACACTCTGCACCAGTCTCAGGTGCACAGCAAAGTGGCAGGAAAACCATGCACTCCACAGAGTGGTCCCTGCTCCTCCAAGTCCCCACCGGTCCCTGACCCAGTTTTGACATTGGCTGCGTTCCCCGTGCTGCCATCCACATCTCTGTGTCTGTTCTGCCACCACCAGTTTGTCCTGCTTCATCCCTCCACCCTTTCCCTGCAGCCCTCAACCCCTTCCTCTCCGACAGCTGTCAGTCCGTTCTCTGTGTCTATGAGTCTGTTTCTACTTGGTTTATTTTGTTCATTAGAGTCCACGTGTAAGTGAGATCATGTGGTATTTGTCTTTGTCTGACTGGCTTCTTTCTTATTAACAGCAATTCTCAGCTAAATCTCCTCCAGTATAGACAGACAGAGCAAGGAAAGGGATTTTTAAAAATAGATAAAGGCTTCATTAAATTAGTTATAGGAAATATACCAAATTCTTCCTACCCAAGTAATACTTCCAGAAATTAAGCCTAAATGTTCTAAGTTCTCATAACTCAGAATATTAGATGCAATATGATCTTAGTGTTTTATAGTGAATTTTTATAAAAATGCATGCAACACCTAATCTGAGAAATTTTTTAGAGTTATTCATTTTATGGTCAATTGTTTGTTTTGAGAGCTTCAAAATTTGGCGTGAATTATTCTTTGAAAGATCCAAACCATGACTGGTTGTAGAGTTGAGTCTGTAATTAATTTTTAATAAAATAATCAATTTTGAAATCTTATAACACTTCTGAAAGACTGAAAAATGTATTATTTAGAGTTCTCCCTTGGAATTCAGATAAAGGCTTTGTCTTCTGAACATTCTTACAATGAAAAGAAATAATACGATCCTGCCGTAACCAAATGCTCACATTAAAATAAAAGAAACTAAAGACACATGAGTTGGACTCATCAAATGACGCATTTCAGTGAAAAAAAAAAAGTTGTTAACAAGTTTCATCTTTGCCACTTCACAATCTCTTCCCCGGGCGCACATAATTCTGTGTTTCGTCAACTGCTTATCAAACATTTTTTAAAAATTAAAAAACAAAACCTGATACAGTTTTCGTCTCTACTTTCTTTATGTGATTTTAAATTCAAATGTTTCTTCTCTTTTTTGGTTAGTACTAAAGTACATCTCCTATAGAGTCAGCTTTCTTTGTACTTAGATGCAGAACCAAATGTTTCTAATTGTTCTTTAAAAAAAATGATCTGTGGAATTTAGTTTCTAATAATCTTTGCTACTGCACTTTTTGATATCTGACTTTTTATAACTTGCTAAGAATATTTTGTTTCAGAAATATGCTTGAAATTACTCAAGCAACCAAGTGAAATCAGGGCTGAAACTTAAACTGAATCATTCACAGTCCGATTCCATCACATGTTGCAATGGCAATTCGCTTGAAATAAAAAAATCACAACCTGACAATATATCATTGCTCTTGGTGTATGAACTGACAGAAATTTTTTATGTTTTTCTTTTGAGAATTTTTATAAGAGTTTACTTGAGCCAAATCGATGACATATGCCTGGGAGCAAGATCTCCAATTCTCCAAAGAGTCACTTTTGTCTTTTTGTACCTTCTTTCATTTGAAAGTAAGGGGGAAACTAAGGATGCGGGAGGAAGCGAGGCCAGGACTGGACTGTGGGGCAGTTTACAAGATCACGTGCTTCCTCAAAGGGAGGCGGTTACCGTACTTTCAAAGGTGTGTTCACCTAGAAGCCCCAGAAACAATGGACAGACCTTCTACTAAAAAGCAGGTGCCCAGGGTATTACTACCCACCAAGACCTGCCCAGAAGTTAGAAACTTCTTTCCTTGATGACTACTCTTAGTAATATTCAGACAGCACATAGTTAAATAAAAAGATGGCTTCATTGTGTCTAATGTAATAGGAAGTAGTCAACGTTTAAAATGGCAATGAATGAAAATCCCTGCGGAGTTCTCGGAAGTGCTGTAAGTCTGTAGAAGAGAGTGGGGGGTCAGTGTTAGGAGTGGACAGAAATGGCCAGTAACGCTCACACTGCTATGGTGATAAGAAGCATGTAGCTGGACTTGAATGTCAAGTAGCCGGCATAGCAGGCCCAGATGTTGGTCGTGTAGTGCATGAGAAACAAGGAGCCGGCATTGACCACGGAGAAGACCGCCAGGGCCAGCTCTCCCAGAAGGTCCCAGTTGACTTTCACGTAACCCACCGCAAAGGCAGCCACGGCCCCTGACAAAGAGACAACACGGAAGATCAACCACGCTGGCCTTGCACGGGGGAAGGATCAGCGTGCTCTTTCAAAACCTCAGGTCTCAGGTAATTCTACAAGATGAATACATGTATATTGATTTCACAATTTGTGAAATAGTGTGATCCATTTAAATGAGGATTTATCCTTTTCTCAACCATGTTTGCCTTTGGCTTCTCTCTTACTTCCTATTCTTTGATTCATTCAGTTGTCACACTTTTTATTAGGGTCGTCTCCATGCCACGCGCTGCACCAGCCAGAGGGCCGGGAAGGTTCCTGACCACGGCAGAGTGGGGAGAAATGAGACGTGACCCCATTCGTTCAGCACAACATGGGAAGAGTGGGGAGGATGGAACAATTGCCCTGGAGGCACTCCCAGCCTACCTATATTTGCCTTTATCGTTTTTTTAGTAAGTTTTTAAAAAAGATTTTATTTACTTATTTTTAGAGAGAGGAGGGGAAGGAGAAAGAGAAGGAAAACTATGTGGCTCGTGTGCCCCCCACTGGAAACCTGGCCTGTAACCCAGGCATGTGCCCTGACTAGGAATTGAACTGGTGACCCTTTGGTTCACAGGCCGGCACTCAATCCACTGAGCCACACCACCCAGGGCTGCAGTTAAGTCTGTTTTTCAATGATGAGTAACAGATGTGTTTCGCTGGGTAGTAACTCTTTGTCTTTATTATTATTTACATACTTATATTTTATTATGCTTACATGTTATTTATAGTAATCTTATTTATATAATGATTGTATTATAATTATTAATAATTTTAATCTTTATTCATCTTAATTTTAATTCTAGTGTCTTAACTAACTTGAGGTTTTGAGTGAACAGCTCTATACTGATTTATAGAGTTTAAGAAGTCAAATAATGGACCATAGTTAGGTATTTATGTTTTAAATTACTGACATGTGATCAACTAACTTTTTCACATTTGATCTAAGAAAGAACAATGCCTGCAAAGGAAATGGAGAACCGTCCTTCCCCTTAGACTTTGGATGTGGGAGAGATGGTTTCAATGTAGAGCTGGTTTCTGGGACTTCAACTAACACCGCCCAAAGGGGAGGCAAAAATAAACAGACACTGTGTGAGTTTTCTCAGACTTTTTGTAAACGAGGGCGTGGAAATCTCCTACTTCCTAGAAAATATCTTCAAAGTCTTATTTGACGTTTAAGTCTCCACTTGCCGGATCACAAATATTTATTGTAGAGCAAAGTTCAAAGGCAGACTTCCCATTGATCTTAGAAGCCTGACTCTCACTTCTCTTCCACTCCTTACTGAAATCTCACAAGAAAGCGACTTTTGAACATTTTTGGTGTACAGGCTGGAATTCCTAAAGGTGGGTGTTATTTAAACCAAACTCTTTATTAAGCCAAAGTCTTCCAGGGGTAATTTAGAAGCCTTAATAGTGCAGCTCATTTTCTAAAATAAGAAAAACTCCTACTTATATTCAAGACGTGTACTGGCCTTTTGGCATTAAAAACAATTCTAGAAGAACAGAGGGCATTGTTAGGACTTTTCCTGATGCTGCGATGAAATCTTAGGAATGTGGGCACAATTCAATCGTTTGGCGCTCAATCCTGAGCTCCTGAGCTACCTGTTGCAACTGTAACACATAAAATAGAAGTGTCATGTTCCCCATTTGTTCTCCCAGCACCTTCCATTTCTAAAGACTAATGTGCCCTCCGAACAGAGCTAATTCACTACTGGGGGAAGTTTAGCAACTGGAAAATGAACTTAATGGGGGTATCCCATCAAACGAAGATTAATCAACACACACTTACCTCCAAAGGTTGCAATAGCTTCTACCGCCCCATTATAGACGGAAGAATTTTGGGATGGTGCCTTATAGTCCCACAGGATTTGAACGTAGTTCAAAACCTGGTTAAAACCTGCTGTGGAAAAAGCCCACCACAGGGACCAGTAAAAGAGATGTTTGGAGGAATAGCACTCCTTCAGATCTTGGAACCACTGCACAAAAACTCTCAGAGCCACATTTTCTGGCTTTGGGCCACCCAAAGGCCCATCGTCCCAGTTCGCTGAAGCAGCGGCCGTTCCCGGAGCGGGTTTCTCCTCATTGCAGCAGGGTGCTTCCCCCCCACGTGCCTCATCTGATGCTACATTTGTGCATGCTGGCTTCTGGATGTCTTTGCTGGCTTTTGCATGAAAAAACATGCTTTTCCTGGGCATTGGTAGAAAAAGTGAGGACAGGAAAGCCGCAGAGACAGAGGCTAAAGTTATGACGTTGAGGTAGAAGTACGATAATTTGGCCAGGGACACCAAGACTTGGGCCAGCACCGAGGCCGCTGTGTAGGCCACCAGCGTGATGGCCCTGCAGTAGCCGCTCACTCTCTGGTAGTGCTCTGGGCTGACCATGCTGTAGATGTAGGAGAAGTAGGCCACCTCGGTGGCGGTGACCATCCCGTAGAAGAACTCCACCGCCTGCATGGCTTGCACTCCTTGGCCAAACAAGAGCAGCAGCCAGGTGATGACGTAGCTGACGCCCTGGAGGACGATGACCGGCTTGTAGCGGACGAAATCGGTGAGGACGAACACGGGGAGCAGCAGCACCAGGTAAGAGTATGTCCACACGGGTAGGATCTCATTGGTTATCTGTGAAGGTGGGAAACGGTCGCGGGGCCAAGGAGCACCGGGAAGTGAGAAGAGCACCTTTCTCAGCTACCCGCACTCTAAGGTACACGTCACTTGTGCAATATCAAAGTTTGCATCCAGTCTGATAGGACATTCTTCAGATTATGGAAAAGGACTTTAGAAAAGGGATTGTCAAGAAAGCCACTAGGAAAACAGAGCTCCCCTTGCCCTGCAAAAATAATCATATACTTACGTGCATCCCAGTAGGAGAATATATGTACCACCTGAACTACATTATGTTCAGATAATGTACGCATTTGAGCAAATCAGTTAAAACTCACTCAATAGACAACTTCTGATTTTTCCAGGCTCTTAGACAAATACCATGCCCTTCCTGGTCAAGGATTAACATTAGATAAAGAGGCTACAATGCTAAAACAATCTGACGACCTTTATTTTCATTTGACTTATCACTGTGTCAGAAATGGCAGCCCTTCCCAAGTCTGGATAAACATAAACACGAAGATTAAAGAGTAAATAACTTTGCAGAATTATGGGTGGGAAGTAGTTATGCCTTTAATATCCTTCCTGGTCAAGTTTGTTGGGCTCCCTAACCCCCTTTCTCTCAATTCTACTGATTTGTCTCAGTTCTGGCCTCCGTTTAATATGGGTTATATCAGGGATTTAGTCAGAAATGCAGGGACCTCAAGGTTCATTCACCGAGAGAAAGGACTGAAGAAGCTGTTGACTTTTGGATCATGATGGGTGCAGGTCATACCAGCCTCTGCTCTATCTCTTCTGCTTCCCACGACACCCTCTGTGGGTTTAAATGCCAAGGATGATGGAAAGTTCAGTTATTAGGAAGACTAGTGTGACTGAGCTGAGCTTTGGAGGGTGGATACATTAACTGACCCACAGTGGTTGCAGGAGCAGAGCCCAGGGGGTTCACTGGCTGATTCTGAGCCCATGTCTGTCCTTTCTTTTGCCCTAATCATGACATGCTCCCATCTGGGGATCTTTTGAATGCCGTTGTCCCTAAGTGACTTCACACCACAGCATAAGTTTGCCTCTCTGTCCTTGCCACCTTGTCACTGAGGAAACCAGCATCAACTCATCTTCCCAGGGAAGCCACAGACTCTGCAGCGTTTTCATAGCTCCGGCTGGAGACTTTAAATGTAGCCCAGGCTAATTCTCCAGTTGGGTCACGGCATTTTCTGTTGCACTTGTTATATATCTATATATAAAAAAGAAGTGGATCTTTTAAGTAAGAGAATTTTGTTTTCTGGGGCAGATAATGCTGGTAGATAGTTTCTCAAAGATGAGTGTCGTGAAGAAAGGCAACAACTCTTTATCAGAGTCTGCTTATCCATCAGCAGCCTGGCCTAGGACTACATGCAGGGCCTGGCAGGGAATTTCTTTAAGTGTAGCAGACTCGATGGAGACCGGAGAGGCTCCCAGGCAGTACGGCCAATGCTAGAACTCTCAAAAAGTCAAAATATTTATCACACCTGTAATGTATCTTGGTTTCCCATTTTTGCAAATCTGGGGGGAAAGAGTAGCTTGAATGGTTCTATTCGAATAACAACTACCATGAGGATGAGATTCACTGAAGTCAGTGGGCTAATCTTATTTCACGCTGAACGAAGCCCAGTCTCTGCTCTTGCTCAAGTCCTGTAAAATTCAACCACATTAAGACATGTGTGGATATTAACTTACCTCCGCGCTGGTCAGGTTTTTATATGGTCCAGATAAATATGGAATAAGGAAGGGTTCTGAGGGTCTCAATGTGGAGAAAAACCCAAACAAGCAGAGGATGGTAGTGGGATAAATCCAGGAACGGCTTGGCAAAATTTGGGAACAGGCCATGGCTAACGAAGTAGAAACAAAGCCAACATTAAGTGACGTCTGCTCTTCTTGGCATCTCAGAAGTAGTAAAAAACCAATGATTTCTAAATGTTTTTATGGAAATTCCATCCACCTGCGGCTGAAATAGAAAGGTGTGGTGAATAACTACTCTTGACTATTCCATAGGTGAGCCAGTCAAACCCTCCACTGTCAATGAACTTCTCGTTCATGACGGCTGGGGTAGAGTCTCACTTTAGTGTCCTCTGTCACAAACGTGGGACCGAGGAGCAACTAATAGAGGGTAAACAACGGGCCAATGAACATTTGAAAGTAAGTGAGACGTCGGCTGGTGAGTTATTGGTGTCCTTGTGGGAGGCAAGGTACTTGTAGGAGCTCAAACCCAAAAGGACGCAGATGGAGTTGATTAGGCATTCTGTTATTTGCCCACTCTCGTTTGCACTGTGCCCCTGAAATCTTTAACGCACGGAGTGGCACGTATTTATTTACACATGTTATCTCTCCTTTAGACTGTCCCTTGCCTAGCATTACACTTGACACATAACAGACATCCAAGATATTTTTGTTGTCTTCAATCTCTTGCAAATTTATAATTACTCAGTTAAAAAATTAAACTGGACACTGATCAGACTTGCCGTCTTTTCCATTTTGCACCCCCCCCACCACCACTGCCATCCCCTTTTCCTTACTGATGCTAACTCTACGATGGGAGAGGGAGTCATCATTTCTTAGACTGTATTTCATTTTTATTTTTGACTGGGCCCATTTCTTCTGTTAGTCTACAGTTTCTCCCTCAATGGGGCAGGTAGCTAATCGGTAATTCATACTTTTACCCTAACCCAGAAATAAAATTGTTTGAAATTCCAACATCACACAAAAAAAATTCAGGGGAGGACCTCATCTGTTACTGCGTAGAAACCCCCATTTTATTGCGGTTATATCTGAAAACAGTTTGCTTTTTCGGGTGGACGATGTGCACAGGAAAATCCACTCTTATTCCTTCATATTTCAGATCACGCTACGCGAAGCTTACCCAGTTTTAGTGCCCTTGGGAACGTGCTCTGAGATGATTCATTAGAAAGAAGCTACGGAAGAGGGGATGGGGGGGGGACTAATGATAATAGAGAAAATCCAATAAAAATTTAAAAAAAGAAAGGGAAAGAAACTAATCTGTTATGAGTACAATGCTTTTCTGCATATTATCTCATTAAATCCTCATAATAACTATAAAAATATATTATTTTCCCAAATTCCCAGGTGAGTGTATGGGAAATCCAAGACATCCAGCCAATGGCTGCAAACCACATGGTCGAGATTTGAATTCAGCTCTTCCTGGCTCCTGCAGGGGTCCTTTCGGCTGCTGGAACTAACCTAATGGCAGTCCTTCCCCACAGCGAGGGAAGGTGTTCTTATGAACACATTCGCAGTAAAGACTATGGCTTCATACACAGGGCTCCCAGGGGGAACTGCAGTTTGAAGGTGGGCCAGAAAGAAGGAAGATGAGGCTCATTTCAGGAAAGCAAGTCACGTGGGTGGAATTGCAGGTGTCCAGGGTGGGGGGAAACTTGGCTAGGGGCCATGAAGGTAGGGAGGGTCTGCTGGGTCACACCACAGTTGCCTCCCACCCTACTCTTTTGCAAGGTGGTCTCAGAAAGCTGCATAGGTCCTCTGTTTTGTTAAGTTAGGTAGACTCTGCTGTCGTTTAGGTCAATGAAACCCTTGATGAGACAGTGCTGAGACCATGGAAATCATAATTTGGAATCAAATGACAGCAACTGTGAGCAATGCTGACAAAGGTGAAAATTTTGCCATGAACCTCTGGGGTTGGCTGCTCTCCACCGCCTCCCTCAGACAAGAATGCATGGAATGTACCTTCGCCCTGAAATGCTGCTGGAGTTGCCGAGGCCTTCTCTCGCTGTGAGTGATATTCGAGTAGCAAAGGTTGCCCTGGGAAGGCAATCTGCGTCTTGGCCATCGTTCACAGGGTGGTCTCAATAGGGTGGCATCTGGGGCTGTACATCTAGAAAGTTCTCTCCATCTATGCTGATGCTGGATTTTTCACTGACTGCAAGCCATCACCTTCTCTGTCTATCTCAGAGACCTAGGACTATGCCCACATTCCCTGGGCTGCTAGCAGTCCCTGGGATTATCAATTTCTCCATCTCTTTACTGTTCTAATACTGTTCCCAACTGGACTTAGTTGGGGAGGTCAAGCAGAAGGAGAGTGTATGCCTCGCTCGAATATAAGCAGGAGGGCAGGGCTTTCTGTCTGTTTGGATCCCCACTCTGTCCCTAGTGTCTAGAAGAGTACCCAACACATAGTAGGTCTTGTGAAAAGAAGGGGAAGAGAGTCAAACCTCACTCCTGAGGACCAGTAAAACTCTGTCTGGGTTTCCTAAGTGTACTTCCTGGCTGCACGAGGTCAAGGCCAGGGCGGTCCTCCACCTGACACATGCCTCGCAGCTCAGTTGAACGGGATAACAGTGCTAATGGCATGTGCAGGCTTGTGTGAGCACGGCACGCCCAGACACCTGGAAGGGATGTGGCCCCGCGAAGGGCATAGGTTTGCTGCTCAAACCCCTGCCATTTCTCTTCCCATTGCTCTCCTCATGTTGGAAGACTCCACGGTGACTCTAGCCTAATGGCCAGAAAATGAGGGGGTGTCTGACTTAGCTGCAAACAGCTGAGAAGCCTCCGGGGGGCTCATTGCTGGGCCCCAGGAGCCTGGGCTTCCTTCCCATAGCCCTTTATCCAGCCCCTTCCCCCTTTATCCAGCCCCTTCCCTATGGAAATATACATGTTCTCCAAAGCTTGCTTTTTTTTGCCAGAGAAAATAAGAAAAGGCATCTCATCAAACCTTAGCAGCAGTCCTTAATCCAGAAGGCCTGGGCAGAGCAGTGGGAGTGTCCTGGGGCTCCCAGACCCTTGCAGAGATGATGTGTCTCCTGGAGGCTGTTCTTCTGCCCTCAGAGCCGCGGCCACAGTCACTGCCCGATGGGACTCGCCGGGACTCTCAGCTCCTAATGCCTGGCTCTTCTTTCACTTCCTTCCTTTCCTACCCACCCTGAGTCCCGTGGTCTAGCACTTGCCTCATTGCATAACCCTTTCCAAACCTGGTCCTTCAACAAAGATTGTGTGAGCTTGACTTGCACGTCAGAATTACCTGGCAAACACATGGTTTCCTGGGCTCCATCCCTGAATGGGATTCAGCAGGTACAACAGGCCCCAGAATCTGCATTTATATACATTGAGTGATTCTGATGCAGGACCAAGGACCACTGTCCCTCATCCATCCACTTGGCTGGTTGGACCAAAGTGAGCCTTTGGCTCCATGCCACATACAGCCTTGGATCTTTGCAGGGTGGTCGGAGATGTGGATGGATGGAAATCATCTAGGGAGCGTTTTCAAGGCTACACAAAGAACCTGCAACCCTGAAATTCTTTCCTGGACCTCTGGACCCTGGAAACAGCGGGACAGGTAAAAAACCCTGAGGTGATCCTGCCATCAACCCCTCCCTTCACAGGCACATGTCACTGCTTATTTGTGACTGTCCCATCTAACATCAAGTGCTTGCCCGACAGGAACAAGTGCCTGTGGTTAGTTAGCATTGAATAAAACCCCACAGTCGGGCTCCGTCAGTCACCACGGCACACAGAGAAGTGAAATCCTCCAGCCCAGCACGACCTCCCTCCCCACCCCTCCCGAACGTGGCGACCTTTTTCCTTACACAAAGCTTGCAACTTCCACATGTAAAATGATAACAACCTGCCAGCTACTGTCACTTCACTCCTGCTTTACACCGAGAAGTGTTCTAGCTGCTTTATTTGTCTCTCATCTTCAGAGCAATCCTGATTATATGTATATATTATACATGTAAGTATATAATTGCACATTTCACGTTACATAGTATATAATTATATTTATATAAATTAGACTATCTATTTATTATATAATTATGTATAAAATGTTTCCACTACTTCTGGCTGGGGAGACAAGCCTCTTCAAAGCTCATGACCACTCAGCTAAGAAAGGTTCAAGTTGAGTTCAAGGTCGGGGCAGTGTTTGGCGAGTTCACATCTTCCCTCTACTCTGATGGGTGGAAGCCTCCCACCCCTGTGGCACCACATTCCCACCACCTCAACATTTTCCTCGCCTCATTTCTTTGCCGTCTGCCCCAAAGGCCATGTCCCTGTGGGCTCCAGGATTCCAACCAGACAACCTGGGGACTGTCCAACTCAGACTCTCACCTGCTGCAGAAGTCTGGGGCGAATGGGCTCAGAATGTTGGGAGATACCAGCCCCACCTTTGATTTTGATCTCATCAATGGAGGATGCTCCTCTTTTCCATCATCACGACTAAGACCATGACAATAAAATTCCTTATGTAATCTCTTCCTGTAGTTTTTGCCTTTGGAGAAATTTTTAAATTTTTCTTTGGCAATTTTGGGAGGTGATGGAAGAGGTGGCATTGTCCTTGTTTTAGGGGCGGGGAGACTGAAGGCCAGCGGCAGTAAGATTTGTGTCCCTTTTCACATTTTACCAACCTCAGAGCCTCCGCTTGGACTCAGTTTTCCCAGTTCCAAGTTCAGTAATTTTTCCTCTGGTGAGAAAGTCGAGACGGCCTGGCTGCAGCCGCAGAATTCTGATTCCGGTTTATTCTAGGGTGTGTTTCAGATGGCGGGCGTCAAAATACAATCTGGTGAATTGTAAACAGGATTGTAATCAAATGTTGCACATAAAAAGTTAAATACTGAGTGCACTTCAGAGTTCAGCTGGGTTTTTTTTTTCCCTAAAACCTTTGAGTTATCAATGTACAAATACCCATTTATGATCCTGCTGTACATTGTATGCAACTCACTGTGCACAAGGACGCTGAGTGAGAAGCCACGTCCCCGACCATTTCCTATGCCCCTCACCACACGTCTCCTGGCGTCACTAAAGAACACGTGCTCTGTCTGGTTGGGGCGCAGCCTTCACGGCAAAGCACCGCTCCGAAACAGGCGGCTGTTTTGCACTTGCCCATTTATCATTCCGCTTCGACCTCATAGTATTATCCTCTTCCTTTAAGGAGAACACTGCCCTTGCCTTCACGTCACTGAATTTAACTTGAGGGCATAGATGGGGTCCATTTTCTTTCTTTTAAAGCAAGAGTTTACCCTTCCCCTTTTTTGCTTTCCAAAGGAGATAATTGTTCATTTTTTTTAACAGTTGCTCCTGTGGCAATAATCCTCACAAATTACTCACAGGCTCCATCAGGACTTTAAAAAAAAGGTACAAGAACATTATCTGGACAGTAAGTTAAAAGATAAGAGAAAAGGACATTCTCTAAATGAAGTCCGCCAATCAGGCTATCATGACTTGGCATCTACAGTGAAGACGCCAGGAGTCCGAGAGAGGCTGGGTGAATCACCTGCTTTTCCCAGCAGAGATATGGCACTTCCTTTGGCGGGACGGGACGTGCGGGAAGCTCTAGCTGGCAGCAGCAGGTGGAGAAGGCCAGCGCCGAGATTAGCCCTGAGTTCATGCCCGGAGCAGGGTGGCCCCAGGAGTGAATCACAGTCCCCCTGCTCCACCTGCCCAGCAGGCCAGAGAGCACCTGCCGCTGGCTCAGTAGCACTGTCTGCACATCGGCCCAGGTGCAGTGCATGGAGTGAGCCCTAGGGAATAAATGGCTGTGTGCACCTTTGGGGTTACCAGCCAGCCTATGTGACACTTTCAATGCAATACTTTTGCATTAGAAGTGACCGAACTGCTCACAGCAAAGACCTTCCTCAAAGCAATGAATATTGACTTAATCAGAAGCAAAAAGAAATGAAACGTTGCAAAAATTTGGGTGAATATAAAAAACATTATGTGGCTTCCAGTCAAGACGGTGACGTGGGCAGACATGGCTTGCCTCTTCACATGACCACATCAAAATTACAACTAAAATAGAGAACAACCATCACTCAGGAACATCAGAAATTAAGTTGAATGGGAAGTCTGACAACTACAGAATTGCAGTAACCATATTCATCCAGATTGGTAGGAGGGGCATGGGCGTGGAGCGGGCTGGCTCTACATCCACATGGATAAAAATTCTGGAGGGATAGCTCAGGAGCGAGAAGTCCCAGACCCACAAGAGGCCCCCCAGCCCAGGATTCCAATGCTAGGATGCTAAGTTCTCACAACTGGCTGCAAAAACCAGTGGAGGCTGAGTTGGTGGAGGAGGCTGCCGGAGCCCCAAGCAGTTCCTATTGGGGAACATACATATAGACTCACCTACTCAGACTCACAACCTCTGAGCACCAGCACTGGGGTAGCAACTTGAAAGGCACCAGAGATATACAGGGAGAGACCGAAGCGTCTGGCACAGGGGCCAGCAGAGGCCATTACCCTGTTGTTGAGCCCTCCCCTTCCTCACAGAGCCTGTAGTCTGGTGCCATATCTGAGACTCCATCAACCTGGCTAACACTGTGTGACCCACCTTGGAGATTCACAGAAGCTCTACCCTACCCAACTTATGGGGCAACCCAAGCTGCTTTTCCATAACAATGATTGGTCTTGACTCCTAAATCCTATCAAATAAGCAATGGCTGGCTTCAATGAGCCCTCGCTGCACCAGATTAGAGTCATGGCTTGGCTTGGCTTCACCTGGGGCTCTCCAAGCTCAGCACAAGCAGCAGTCATCTCAGATTGCTTTACAGCTCAGACAGGGCACCATGGGCAAAACACAGGTTGAGGCTGACCTTGGCCCCCATCACCTGGGGAAACCCCAGGACTGATGCCCCCAGTGGACAGCTATAGACCATGTCAGAGCACCACTACCTGGCCCCTGCACAGCTGATCCTCCGTGGAGGGCGTAGGTTGGTGGTAAGTGGTCATATCCAATTCTTGCAGCTGAGTGGCCTGGGTAAATCCCTCCCATTGATCTGCCAGCAGCAACCAAGGCTCAACTACAAGAGGAGGGTGTACTCAGCCCACACAAAGGGAACACCTTGAGTACCCAGTTTGGGTGACAGGGGAGGCTGTGTCACTGGGCCCTACAGGACACCTACTATATTAGGCTACACTACCAAGACTCAGAGTCAAAGCAGCTCTACCTAATACATATAAACTAACACAGGTAGGCTGGCAAAATGAAGAGACAAAGAAACATGGCCCAAATGAAAGAACAAATCAAAACTCTTGAAAAAGAGCTAAATAAAATGGGATAAGCAATCTATCAGATGCAGGGTTCAAAACATTGGTTATAAGGATGCTCAGGGAGGTTAGTGAGGACCTCAGAAACATAGAAAAGACCGAGGCAGAAACAAAGGATACAATAATTGAAATAAAGAACAATTTACAAGGAAACAACAGTAGAGTGGATGAAGTTGAGAATCGAATCATGATTTGGAACTTGAGGAACCAAAAAACAACCAGTCAGAACTACAAGGAGGAAGAAGAATAAAAAAAAAATGAGGATAGTATAAATAGCCTCTGGGACAATTTCAAGAGATTCAACATTGACATCATAAGGTGCCAGGAGAAAAGACCAGGAAGCTGGAAATCTATGTGAAAAAATAGTGAAAGAAAACTTCCCTAATTTGGTGAAGGAAATGGATGCGCAAGTCCAGGAAGTGCATAGAGTCCCAATTATGATGAATGCAAAGAGGCCCACTTCAAAGGTTAAAGATAAAGAAAGACTCTTAAAAGGAAAATAAAAGAAGTTAGTTACCAGGAGATTGCCAGATGGGTAGGGGGTGGGGAGAATGGGTGAAGAGGTGAGGGGATTAAAAAGTACAAATTGATAGTTACAGAATAGTCTTGGGGATGGAAAGTACAGTACAGGAAATGGAGTAGCCACAGCACTTATACCCATGACCCATAGATTTGAACAATGGTGGGGAGATTGCCTGAGGGAGTGGGGGTGCTGGGTGGAGGGGGCAAAGGGGGAAATATCAGCACAACTGTAATAGCATAATCAAAAAAATATAATTTAAAAAAGGAAATAAAAAACATTATGCTGTGCCAAAGAATCCAGACACAAACTTGTATGATTCCAAGAGTGAATATATATATCTCAAGCAGAACTGCTAAAACAAGCGGAACTAATCTATAATGACAGAAAATCAATCAGAGGGTGCTTGGGGTGGCAAATAGGGGGAGATTGTCTCAATAAACCATAAAGGAGTTTTCTGCATGGTGAAAATGCTATGTATCTCAATTTTGGTGGTGGTTAGAAACCTACATACTTTAAGAAATAAATTCTCACCAAGGATATGTTTACTGATTTTAGAGAGAGAGAGAAACACTGATCAGTTGCCTCCCTCATGTGCCCTGCCCTGGAATTGAAACTTGCAACCCAGGTATGTGCCCTGACTGGGGATTGAACCCACAACTTCTTGGTTCATGGGATGACTGTCCAACCAATTGAGCCACCTGACCAGGGCCAAACTTTCATACTTTTGTCAAAACTTATTTGCTGAACACATAATGTACATTTTATTACATGTACATTGTAGTTCAGTAAAGATGACCTGAAATAAGGAACGAATCACTGATACATGAAACAAATGAATCTCAAACATTTTTCTGTATAAAAAGAATCCAGACACAAAAAGACAGGGACATCCTGTATGATTCCACAGTTGATGGAAATCAGGACAGTCACCTCTGGGGGGGAGGCATTGCAAGGGAACTGACTGGACAGGGACACAGGGGACCTTTCAGGAGTGATGCAATACCCTGCATCTTCATGGCATATAATTACATAGGTGTATATAATTATAGACACTCAAGTGTATAAACTATAGTTTATATTGTATGTAAATGATACCTCAATTAAAAAAATACATCCTCTCCCCTCCCTTTCCCTTCAAAATATTTTACTCTGAAAAACTCCCTACTGCTCTGGACTTTTTCTATTTTATTTAATCTGAAAACAAAAGAGCATCTTCGAAATTGGGTCTGTTCTAGAAAATTCAGAATGGAAACAGTGCTCTTAAATCAAAGTGAGGACAGCCAAAAAAAAAAAAACTTTGTAAATTTGGCTGCATACAGTGTTTTTCAAAATAGATCAAATTAGAGTTACCTGTTCCTTTTGTGGCTTGAGCTTATTCCTTCCTAGAACTAAGTCCCGTTTTGTCTTCAGTCCCGTCTTCTGCTCCTTCCTGTTGCCACTTAACTGGAGTCTTGGGTCCCCTGCCTTAGAACTGAGCTGACAAGAGGATGACTTCTCACAGCCAAGGTCACCGCCTTCTCATGGCTGTGTTCGCTGGAACCCACCCTCTTCTGCGGTCCCCCTCTTCGACACCTCATTAAACAAAATAGACAACCAGATTCAGATTTTTCCGAAACACAGAGAATTAGGAGGGTAGACATATCAAAAACATTTTCCCCTGAGTGTTTGTACTAAGGTAACTGAATGTAGTTTCTCTAGAATTTTGTATCAAGTGACTCAGAATCTCAGAAAACCACAATGTAGGCCTATCACTCACTCACCACCATCCTTTACATATCTTCCCCCAAACAAAGCAACACCCCAATACCATGCCCTCTTCATGGAAATGAAGTACCCCATACAATGTCAAAGCATGCAAATTAGGTCCAGATATTCAACACGCGAGCCAGAATTGTTCTTTTTGGTCAAAACCAGCATTTTCAAAACTGGTGTGCTGCAAGAATTTATAAAACATGCAATACCTGACTATTTAGTCAGGGGTGCTGACCTCTTTTCCCTTAGGTTGTCAAATAAAAAAAAACCGACAACAGCCAATACAACAATAGCTGTCTGGTGTGAATGAATCAAAATTATACCCATTTTTTGGTCAGATCAGCAAAAAATATATTTTTTGGTGTGCTGCAGAATTTTAGTAATTATAATAGTTTGTGCGCCATGAGGTGACGTTGGTTGAAAATAGCTGGTCAAAGCCACCGAAGGAGTAGATGCAGGTGACCTTCAAAATATACACACACTCCAGGTTCCATTTATCATCCACGTCACCATTCTTTTTCACTTGCATGACACATTCGCTGATGAATTCATCGTCCCCTCCCAGACTGTTTATTGTCTGTATGTCTGTGGTTACATCAGCTGAGTCTCAGGTGCGCCAGGTGAAACGTGCCCAGCAAAACTATAAAGCTGGTGGACGACCCAGCTAGAAAGTCACCCCACAGCATCTGAACCCTGAAATGTGCTATGGGTAATTGGTCCAATGCATGTGGTGAGGTGGAAGGCAGGGGAAATTTGCCCTTCAGGGAAAAAACTACCCACTGCTTGAGCTATTTTACAACTTCGTACATTGCAGTAACTGATAACAACTTGAAATCGTTCCTGTCTGGAGCCATGCAAACGAGTTCTATCCAGTGAAGCAACAGCTCTCTTCCCTTGTCCCACATGGAAAACCAGCTTTGCCTGAATTCAGTGTTCCCGATTTAGAAATGTACCCATTCTTTGGATTCTACTTTGATCTGGTTGGAGCATCCTTACCAGTTTCCTCATTAATGAGTTAGTAAATCCTTGAATACGTGTTTGTTTTTATATCTGTATGAGAGGCATGACTTTGTCCTTTTCCAGAAATTAATCTTCTCATGCTTGTTCCCATTCCTCATGCCTCCAGCCTATCCAAATAACCTCCGGTTTATTCCTGGCACCGTAAATGATTTGCTAATGGTTGTTAAACTACCAAAGCAGCTTTAATAGTTTGGCATCTCATGGCAGACCTTCCCAGATTTAGGCTTATTGTTTTTTTTTTTCTCTCCAGACTTGGGTTTTCTGTGGACAATGGGGCCTAATGGAAAGAGCATGACTTAGGGGTTTGAAGTTCACGTTCCTCCTGCCCCACTGCTGTCTGTGGCAGGGATCTGGCCTCTCCCAGGTCCTGTAAAGGTGAATGACTGCACCCACCTCACAAGGCTGTCTCAGGGGCTGCTCCGTCTGGTCCTGGGCTCAGCTCAGCTTCCTTCCACACCTGCCATGCAAGTGCAAAGGGTAGACTGAACCCGAATGAACACGGCTGGGCACTGCTAGTTCACAGACAGTGATTTCAGAAAGGTAAATAATTCACAGGACATAATTTCCCCTAAACTGATAAGGCCAAGCACACTTACCTTTGAATATTTATGCTTGAAAAGCGTTCGCCCTTGGCAAACCTTGAATCGCCATTGCCGGTCTATGACAGTACTGACTGGGCGAAAGTGGTTGTGCCCATTTCGGTGACTCCTAAGACAGGCGTTCCGAAGGAACGCACATCGGAATGTAGCAGGGTTTTGCTCTATTTAAAACCTGCGCCACAATGAAAACACACCTTTTGCCTTAGGAGGCACTAATACGCTCAGATACCGGCAGGAGTATTTTCAGAAAACATCGCCTCTTTCGCCCTTTTCATACCGTAAGCAGGGTACAAGCCGTAACCTCTCGCATACATACAGCAGCAACACTGACTTCCCGCATGCTTGCCACACGTGTTATCTGGTGAATTAAGTATCTTTCCTTGGATGGCTGTGCTTTCTTTCAGTTTCAGTTAAAGGAGTTCTCAAGTGAGCCCCAGATCTCTCGACTCCCAAGTCCCCTCTCCCACACTGGGCCCACGCGCGAGTTTTGGGTGGGGATCTGGACTTCTGTGCCGAGCCTTCAGAGGAGGGACAGGCTGGCCTGGCCCTTCGCCAGGATCCAGGATGTAATTAACCTGCTTTTCCTTATGGCCGAGAGTTAGAAGTCCGGGCACACCTACCTGGGCGAGTCTGGGCCTGCGCGCGGTGGTTGGAGGAGGTCCGGGGCGGCAGCAGGAGGAGGCTCCGGGACGTCGGCTCCCAACCCACACGCCGCAGCGCAGGGACCTGCCTCACCTGTGCTCCCCAATCTGGGGAAGGGGGAGTGTGGCGGCCCAGCAATGATGCATTTCTTCAATTCACTCACCTTCCCAAGGAGTCACTCGTACCTGTGGAAGCGGGTTTCCGCTGCAAATCGCTCACACCTCTGGATCATCAGTTGCTGGGGATCACGACCTTCAGCCGTCCCACCGGGTGAAGCCAAGCGCTGAAGGTCGCAGGGGAGGCAGGACAGAGGGCCGAGGCCCCGCCCGACGTGTTGTATCGGCCAGTTACAGGCGTCCAGAGCTTTAAACTGGAGGCGGGAATTCACAGATTAAGGGCAAACACCAACTTCAGACCTTAAAGTAAGGGACCATTTAAATTAATATACGGATAACCAGTGTCAACGCAATAAAGCAGGGTGGACTGAGAGCAGTGTCGATCTATATACAATATTACCTTTGCTATAAACCCATTTATTTCTCCCCCAAACTTATGAGGGAGGTTCAGCCCTGATCCTCATTCTGCACAAGAAGAAACTGAGATAGAAAGAGGTAAGACTAATAAACAGAAGAGCCAGGGGTCTTTCTTGTTTTTACCTGGGCACCCCGGCTCCAGTGCCAATGTTGATAATCACTGCCTTTTTCTTTAAAGGTGACGGGGTGGTTTTCTGGCACGTTGAGAATTTTCTAATACAAATAGCTCATCTATTGAATACTTTTTATTAGACAGAAGCGTTATAACGTTCTCACTGGTTAAAATGGAATTAAAATATTTGTTTAGCTGCTGGTGGAAATGGAAAATCTCCCCCAAGAAAAACACTGCTCGGGTTCTAAGGCTGCTGGTGCTCACGAAGTGGATCAAACTCACCCCAGGTGTTGTGGGTTTTCTGTTATCACCACCCTGTGATTTGCGGAAATTGTCCTGTAAATCACCATGACCCACTGCAGGATGGGGAGTGCCCTGTTCGTAGCGGGACAGATGCCCTTGTAAATTTCATGGCCCCTCCAGAGTTGACCACACAGTGACATTTTCTCGAAGGTTGAGGGTGTCATGGTTTCTTCACACCTCTCACCAAGAGATGACCTAGTGTGGACCTTGAGGAGTTTACTGCTGTGTTTCTTTGGTATGTCTTAGACATAGGTAGCCTACACCAGAGACATGATGGGAAGGCCATTCCTTCATAGAAAAGTGAACAGATTTGCTGATGAGCTGACATGAGCTCTAAATTGGGTCCAGTGGTGGGAGGGGTGTGTGGGGGTGATGTTATAAATGACCAGGGACGGGCTGTGTGTTGATAACTGTTGACTTGGGTGATGATTCTTAGGAATTTATTGTGCTGTTCTCCACTTTTGTGTGTGTTTGGCACTTTCCACAATTGAAAGAATTTGGAACTCACTTTGAAAGCAGGAAAATGACCTGCAGGTCTGGCTGCCCGCCCCATGAAAGCCAAACTCGTGAGGCAGGTTCTGGCTGAGAAGGAAAGGGATTTATTCAGGAGTCGACAACCTGAGAAGATGCCAGGCTCCTGCCTCCAAAACCACCTTAGCATCTCGGGGGTCCCATCGAGGTTATATAGGGGAACTGGGAAGAGGGGGCTCAGGAAATTCTGGCCACGTGCAGCTTCTCAGTTCTGCTCCTGGGTGATCCCACTGTGACATTCTCCACATGTCATCGTGTAGTTCCACTGCTCTGTCCCCAGTTCTGCTGCTGACCATGCAGACGGTGTTTCTCCTGGTTCTGATGGGAATTGCTGTTGCCTGTCTAGTTCTTGTGGTCAGGGTGTTCCTTGGTCAGGCAGGCACCGTGACAGCTGATGTGTACACATGACTCATATGAAAACTTTTAATACGTGATTTTTTCTATGAGTCTGTTAGTACAATCTGTTCCATAATTATTACTTCATTAGTATGTTTTTTTCAATCACTGTTACCCTCTATTCATTAAGAAGCTATTCACTGAGTGCTGTGCTAGGTGCCAATTGCTGTTCTAGGTGCTGGATGTGTCAGGGAACAAAAGAGTTGGAAATCGTTGCTTTGTAGGGTGTGTATGTTCATGGGATGAGGCAGAGGGAACACTGTAGAGTAAACGTGACCAATTCATGGATGTTAGGGTATGTTGGAAAGTGTCAAGCACTATAGACAAGACCAAAGTCAGAGATGAGATGAGGGTGCAGAATGATGGAGAAGAGAGCTGAGGCCTGAGCCCCAGGGTGTCAGGGCTGGGGAGGGACCTACCGATGAGTCCCGATCGGAGCAGCAGTGAGGGGCTGAGGGTGGGGAGGGAGTCATGCAGGAGGGAGGGAACGGGCTGGGGTGGCGTATTGGGGAGAAGGGAGTGCTCAGCTGTGCTGAATGCTGCAGCCCTGTCGCTCTGGCTCCCGAGGCTGCTGTCAGCAGACCTGCTGCTGCCAGAGTAACGCTGCTGGGAGGTGCCCTGGCCCAGCCTGCAGACAGGTGCTGCAGGTTACCCTTCCATGGGTAAGGCGCTCTCTCTTCCTGCTGGTCCTTCGTGATCTGAAAATCACAAGGCTGATATGCGACTGGTTCACAAGCAGCAGAGTTTAATCTCCATCCTTTGGTCCGTGAGCTCCTGCCTCCAAAGGAAAAATACGGGCACACAACTTCCCCATCCATCACCCATCAGAGTATGAGCCCAATAAAACAAAGTGATGATTTTCATGCAATGTTTTCCTGAAATTTTACTGTTACAATGTTTCCTGCTATTTCTTTCCCCCTGTCTGTAGCCCTGCTACTATTTTCCATTTCTGCAAACCTAAGTCATTTCCTTTCTCAATAAACCGTATCACATTGGCCTCAAAATCTCATCAACATCTCCTTTTATTTTTCTTATTGGAATGTGCCTCACCCAGAGATGCAATGAAACCCGTAGAGTAAGACCCTGTTTGTTTGAGATGAGTTTGGCGTAATTAATGGATAATCTGTCTCTAACTGGTTTTCACACAAAGTTAAGATTGGGTGGCTTAAACCCTCCTCTCACATAAGTTAGACAAAGGATTCTGGGGACGTTGTATTTTGGACTCAACATTCAACACCTAAAGCAATGTCTCTTTAGGTCTTGGTTATTTCAGTTTGGTTCTGTTAACAGTTTAAAATCTGGTTACAGTTTAATGAGATTATTTTATTCTATCACCAGTACTAGTTAATTATCTATTTGACATGTTACGGTTACAATTACTGGTGTGGTTATAAGTGAATAAATCTGTGAGTAAGAGCTGTGACTAAAACATTCCCCCTTTGGTTGTTTTCCATCATTAGTAAACAAGAACATACAGATGAGGACCTCGTACGATACTTTCCAAGTCCTCTGCGGGGAAAACTGCATCAGAGCCCAATGTTGGTTGGGAAACCCATCTTCTGAATGCAGTGCCTTTTTAAAATGTACTATTCCTTAGAATTTCTGCTGGCGTCTGCTCTGTGATGAAAGTGAGAGCTGGAGAGAGAAGCAGAAGAAGGCCTCAGTAGGGTCAGATGGCTGCCCCCACCCCATTCTTGCCCCCTGTCCCTTACCCTGGGACCACAGAGGTCTGGCCCTTTCTCTCTCCCACTCACAGAGAGCTGATGCTCCAGAATTGTTGCTTTTAAAGCAATGCAGGAGGTACTGGTCAGGGGCACGTACTGAGTAACCAAGGCACAGGTGCTTCCAGAGAGAGGCTGTCTGTGCCAGGGTTGCACAGAACGAAGGGAACAGGGCCCTTCCCACCAGGCCCAACCTCTTTTCATTTGTCCCCAGGAGATTCCAGGCTCGCAGAGCGGAGCTATTGTTACCTGTTGTTCAGTGTCAGCCATCACATAATAGGGGCATTGAAGGAGCCTGGGAGGGGTTTGGCGTAATTAGTGGATAATCAGTTATTAACATAACATAGATAAAATCTCTTTGGGGTAGATCTGGGGATCACCAACTCGGTTTGATATTGCATTGGGCAGAATAGCATACTGAAAAATAAGAAGTGACAGGGGAGTAACCTGTCCAGTGACCTGGGACAAGAGCATCCTGGACTGTGGGAAGGGACCAGAGAGAGGGCAGGACAGGGAAGGCGGTGGGAGTGGGAGGTTCAGCCAGGTAAACTAGGTGGAGGGTGAGGGTGGGGGTCGGTGTGGGGCGGGTTGCATTTCCCGGTGTCATTTTAGGACATTGTGAACTTCAGCTTTGACTGTGAGTGACATGGCAACCAGGATAGGGTTTGAGTTTAGAAGGGATCTGGCCTGCCTTGCACTAGAAAATGATTGCTCTAACCAGCACCTGGAGAATTTCCTTGTGGCAATTTCCAGGGGTGACGTCACTAGATCAAAGATTATCCGTGCTTTGCGTAGTGATAACAGATACAAAGATCACCCTCTATAAACAGTATGTTATTCCCACCCACAGTGCACGGTGCTTGCTTTGTACTCGATTCACACTGAATGTTGTTTACGTTCACCAAACAACATTAGATACAATGAAAATAGCATCGTGTTAATATAGCAGACAAAAATCAACAGTCTTTACCTTAATTATTAATAAAGTTGAGCATCTTTTTCTAATTACATACTATTAGTTGATCTTTTATATTTAAACTGTTTATTGTTTAAAAACCCATTAAACATATATAATAAACTCCCATGTATCAGCTTCAATAATAATTCACAGCCAATTATTTTGAAGCCAATTTCCAAGATACTGTTTTATATATACATACTTTATTGTGTATATCAAAAAGGTAAGGACTTCAATTAAAGAACAACCACCATACCACTGTTCTGCCTCAAAAGCGAGAACAATTTTTAATGTATTTTAATAATTAGTCATGCTCAAATTTCTCCAGTTACCTCATTTAAAAAAAGGTATCAAGCATCTTCTCTGACCACAATGCTAAGGAACTAGAAATCAATCACAGGAAGAACACTGAAAAATATACAAAGACGTGGAATCTAAGTAACATGCTATGTAACAATGAGATCAGGGAAGGAAATCAAAAGATACCTTGAAACAAATGAATGAGGACACAACAACCAAAATCCATGGGACACCGGGAAAGCCATCCTAAGAGGGATTCACAGCATTACAGGTCTATCTCAAAAACCAGAGAACGCTCAAATAAACAATCTAACTTTACACTTAAAGGAACTTGGAAAAGAACAACAAACAAAGCCCAAAGTGAGCAGGAGGAAGGAAATAATGAAAATCAGAGCAGAAATAAACAAAATAGAGTCTAAAAAATGATACAAAAGATCAATAAATCCAAGAGCTGGTTCTCTGAAAAGATAAACAAGGTTGACAAACCTTTAACCAGACTCATCAAGAAAAAAAAAGAGGGGACCCAAATAAAATGAGAAACGAAAGTGGAGAAGTAACAATTGATGCCAAAGAGATACAAAAGCTGGTAAGAAAATATTATGAACAACCGTATGCCAACAAATTGGAGAACCTGGATGAAATGGACAAATTCTTAGAAACATACAATCTTCCAAAACTAAATGAGGAAGAATCAGAGAATATCAATAGACAGATTGTACCTAGTGAAACTGAAGCAGTAATAATTAAAAACAACAAT